GGGGGGGGGGGTCCATCGTTTGGATGCATGGCAACCTGGCCCAGCTTTATCAATTTGGGATCTGGAGAGACAATAGGACGTTGACTGTGAAGGGTAATTTGTTTTAAAGGCTAATTGAATCACAGGGCATGGCAAAGTGCAGACGGATAGGGGGTTATTAGGACAGAGAAATAGCCTAAAAGCAGACTGAAAGTCCAGGTCACGCTTAGCTGTGTGTCGGCATTTCGCAGCTCTCCCCCATTGACCTCTGTCGCTTCAGAACCGGAGAGAGATAGGGGCTTGGAAAATAAATGTTGTCTGCAGCCTGGGGGTTCAGTGCCTTCGAAAAGCTCAGGTAAAGAGACATCATAAACAGGAGTTAGATTAGAGACTGCCAACAGATATTAGTGTGACGAGACACTGAACCTATGATGAATCTGTAGATACATTTATGGATGGGAGCAGTTAGATGGAAAGATGGATGCATGAAGTACACAGTGAGTGACTGGCAATCTCTTTCAATATGTGACCCCCCCAAATTTTTCCAGTAGTAATGCAGATTGTATATAAGTATATGTATATATACTTCTAAGCAGCAGGCCTGCTTGTCTTGCGTGACTCTTACAAGCAGTTCACAGACCTCTGGGGCCACAGATCAGAGTTTAAAACTGCCAGACAGACAGATTACATGGTTGGAAGGATTTTACCTGCTGTATGGTGTTCCACCCATCTGGGCCAGTTGCTCTCCTGTATTAGGGCCCCAATTTAAAGCAGCACTGAAACACATGCTTGAGCAGAAACGTATGCTTAAGCCTAGTTAACGGGGGTGGAACTGGAGCCCACACTTAAATGCTTTCTTGAGCCAGGACTTGTCTAATTAACCATGACCAGCTCCAAATCATAGGGGAGCTGCTTGCTCTGATCAGGCTATATCAGCTGTCTCATCCCACCTGGAAATGGCAGGAGTGGACTGGGAAGAGCCTGGAGTAGAAGCAGCTTATGATAATGGTAAATACACTGCAGGTTGGGCAGATGCTTAACAGCGTTAGCAGGATGCTTTATGGTCCTCTAAGCAGGTGTGAAGGTGCGGTATCAGCAAGGGGCCTGCGTAATATTGTAATTCATAGCTCAGTTAGCAGGGAGGTTGTTTATGTGGTTTGGGGGGGGGAGGGGGCTTAGAGAAAGACATGACTTTTCAGGGTCCCTCTCACCCCTCCATGCTGTGACCAAGCCACTGGTCCATGGGAGATGAGTCATATGGCTGGGCAGAGGGAGAAACTCGGCCTCATTGAAGCAGATAGGAGAACAGCGCAGCTGAGATCCTAACATCACTGTCCCCACTGACGGGACAGGAGCCCAAATGCCACCAGGCTGCACAGGCTTCCTGAGCCCAAGGGCTCCGGATTCTTTCTGCCCACGTTTAGGCACCTCATCAGAGTACCTTCGCTAAGGAGACAGGAAGAAAGGCACTTACAGAGAGCTATTAAGTCCACACAAGACCTGAGCAGCAGTTACAGAGGGACAGTGTGGTGCCTGTGCTCCTAGCTGGGGTGCCTCGGTGAGCGCTTAGCAGGGTAAGGCCAGGCCTGGGAAACCAAAGCTGGAATCCATGCTAGCAAACTCCTCCAGGGCCAGAGGAGCTGCCCCGTTTGCGGCATCTTCCCAGACCCTCCATCTGCAAACACAGACCGGCAACAGCAGCTGTCCAGGACAGCAAAGCTGTACTCTGTGGGGCAAAACACTCCCTCCCTTTAGCAGTGTGTGAAGCCTCCTTTTGAAAAGATGTATTCTGGCTCTTGCCTGGGAAAACAAGAACGTTTTCCAAAATACTGGCCACCCTGAAGCCACCAGCTGGCCAGCGGCTGCCTGCAGTACCACTGGGATGTCCCGGACACCCAGCACGGCTGGGTGGGTGGTTATTTCCCCCTCCAGCACTCCAACTCCTCTTTGAACCCTGGCTATCTCTGGAGAATAAACTGATGGCAAGAGGCTCTACTTGGCTAAGGAGCAGGAAAGCCAGTGTAAGGGAGAACATATTCAGACAGGAATCGACACCAGCAAACATGCATCTCACCCTGAGGAAAAACATGTCTGTCTGTCCGTCCGTCCGTCCGTCCCTCTTTCCCAGAAACATCTAGGTAGCTACCTTGCTAATACCTATGTGCTCTGAGTCCAGAAGAGCACCAAGGCGGTTTGGCCAGGGGCGTGCTAGTTCCAGACAAGGAGCACTTGTGTTTGTCTCAGGCAAGCGTGCGTGTATTTCTTCAGGGGGAAAAACTAACGCATGTGCAACCGAACCAGCGCTGTGGCTCTATGCGCATGAATGTGTGTGTGTGAAAGACCATAAATAACACGCAGCAGTGACTGCGTATGTCTTTATATGGCAGAATCTGTGGTTGTGCAGAAACGTGGTTACAGAGGTAACATCTGGCTGCGTGTGTGTGTGCACTGAAGTGACTCCGTGCCTGCGGGAATGAAGAATACGCCTGTGTTGCTGGGTCCTGCGTCCCTGGGAATCTCGATATACGAGGTGGCTCCAGCCACCTGGCAAGCGATACTACACTGCACTGCCTGTCCGCGTGAACACTCGGGTTTGTTCGTAGGGACAGAGGGCACATGTTTGGTGTGAGTGTCTGTCTCTCTGCATTTCCAGGACTTTCTGTTCAAAGATAGCTACGTCTTTTAACAGATGGTGCAGGTTTTTGGTACTGAATGGGCCTTAATTCTTTGCAAAGCCAGGCCTTCACATACCAACAAGAGCTCGGGTCTGCTCTGGGGAGGCCCTTAGCCAGCCCCTCTCCCTGCCCACAGGCCTTTCCCCACGTTTCCGAGCTCTGCTCCTGGAGTACAAGGCTTTCTCTGCACTTCCCACCCTCTGCACGCTTGCTTTCCTGGAAGCAGGTGCCTGCAGCTCCCGCAAATAGCTTAATATATTGGGATTTGCCAAGCAGAACAGGATGTAGCCTCTTTTGTTTTTTTCACAGACCAGATTAAGCCCAGTGGAGAAAATGGAGCCACTGCTGGGTTGTGCTGATGAGTTGCTCTTTACTGCTATGGGGGAAGGCCTCTTGACTTCTGAATCACGGCCGGTGTGGCTGCTGGGACAGGCAGTGGATGCAGCCAAAGAAATAATTAAATATTGGAAACTCTGAAGAGATTTGAATAGAAAACTCTTGTGGGAATAGCCACTACACAAGTTGAATCTCAGCCTGATTTCTGCAGTTTGAGCACTGATGGGAGAGGAGACTCGATTGTCTGTTTCAGCAAAAGAGCAAAGTCCCTCTCTACTATAAATTGGCTTTGCTCCATCAAAGCCATTGGAGCAATGTGCATTTAGTGGATGGAGGAACTGGACCCTATTGCTTACGTGTTAACTCGCATATTAACCTTGATGTTTCTTGTCAGGTCCTCTTAAGCTCAATAGCTGCCCTAGAAGCGAAGGAAGGTTGTCTAGGGGGTAAACCAGGACTCCTGGCCTCTCGCTCTCAGCTCAGAGGACAGCAGAAGAAGGGGTTAAATACCAGGACTCCCGGATTCTATCCTGAGTTCTGCCACGCACTAACTAAATGAATTTGAGCAAGACATTTATTTATCTTTGCCTGGATTTCTGCATCTGGAAAGCACGGCTAATAAGAACACTCATCTCCCTTGTGCACAAGGTGCCTATGAAGGGAGAATTGTATGTCACATGCTTTGGGATCCCTTGGGAAAGATGTCAACTCAGGATAGGTACTAACGTACCAAGAAAACAACGTGAAGCAGCAAAACTGCTTTGAGCTTAGCACCGGTCTAATTTCTGGATAGGTTTCCAAAAGCCTAACTCCCACAAGCAGAGAGAAATTACCAAAATCCCATCAGCATCCACACTGGTACCTTCTGGGAATCTGTGTGCTTATTTAGTTGCCTACCTAGGACCTGGGCTTGCAGGTTAGAAGCTCTAGCCCTGGTTTATTAATTTTGGTTAGAAGGAAATGTGAACACCTGATAAAAGCCTAGGTTTTCTCCCTGATGGAAACCAAGTCTGTAAGGAGAGGAATTCTATTTTATTA